CCACAACTTTGTCCCTGACCTGGTTGGAGAGCTCCTTGGTCTTCATGGTGCCGCTTGCTTGGTGGTGCCCCTTGCTTAGTGGTGTTGCAGACTCTGGAGCCTTTCAGAACAAGTGTATATATACTGAGATTGTGTGACACTTAAATAGAGTCCACCTGTGTGCAATCTAACTAATTATGTGACTTCAGAAGGTAATTGGTTGCACCAGATCTTATTTAAAGGCTTCAGAGCAAAGGGGGTGAATACATATGCACGCACCACTTTTCCGTTATTCATTTTTTAGCTTTTTTTTTTAACAAGTTATTTCTATCATTTCACATTAAATTACAGGTTGTAATGCAACAAAATAGGAAAAACGTCAACGGGGATGAATACTTTTGCAAGGCACTGTATATGAGTGCAAGAGCGAGAATACAGTGGGGGAAAAAAGTATTTAGTCAGCCACCAATTGTGCAAGTTCTCCCACTTAAAAAGATGAGAGAGGCCTGTAATTTTCATCATAGGTACACGTCAACTATGACAGACAAATTGAGGAAAAAAAATCCAGAAAATCACATTGTAGGATTTTTTAATGAATTTATTTGCAAATTATGGTGGAAAATAAGTATTTGGTCACCTACAAACAAGCAAGATTTCTGGCTCTCACAGACCTGTAACTTCTTATTTAAGAGGCTCCTCTGTCCTCCACTCGTTACCTGTATTAATGGCACCTGTTTGAACTTGTTATCAGTATAAAAGACACCTGTCCACAACCTCAAACAGTCACACTCCAAACTCCACTATGGCCAAGACCAAAGAGCTGTCAAAGGACACCAGAAACAAAATTGTAGACCTGCACCAGGCTGGGAAGACTGAATCTGCAATAGGTAAGCAGCTTGGTTTGAAGAAATCAACTGTGGGAGCAATTATTAGGAAATGGAAGACATACAAGACCACTGATAATCTCCCTCGATCTGGGGCTCCACGCAAGATCTCACCCCGTGGGGTCAAAATGATCACAAGAACGGTGAGGCAAAAATCCCAGAACCACACGGGGGGACCTAGTGAATGACCTGCAGAGAGCTGGGACCAAAGTAACAAAGCCTACCATCAGTAACACACTACACCGCCAGGGACTCAAATCCTGCAGTGCCAGACGTGTCCCCCTGCTTAAGCCAGTACATGTCCAGGCCCGTCTGAAGTTTGCATTTGGATGATCCAGAAGAGGATTGGGAGAATGTCATATGGTCAGATGAAACCAAAATATAACTTTTTGGTAAAAACTCAACTCGTCGTGTTTGGAGGACAAAGAATGCTGAGTTGCATCCAAAGAACACCATACCTACTGTGAAGCATGGGGGTGGAAACATCATGCTTTGTGGCTGTTTTTCTGCAAAGGGACCAGGACGACTGATCCATGTAAAGGAAAGAATGAATGGGGCCATGTATCGTGAGATTTTGAGTGAAAACCTCCTTCCATCAGCAAGGGCATTGAAGATGAAACGTGGCTGGGTCTTTCAGCATGACAATGATCCCAAACACACCTCCCGGGCAACGAAGGAGTGGCTTCGTAAGAAGCATTTCAAGGTCCTGGAGTGGCCTAGCCAGTCTCCAGATCTCAACCCCATAGAAAATATTTGGAGGGAGTTGAAAGTCTGTGTTGCCCAGCGACAGCCCCAAAACATCACTGCTCTAGAGGAGATCTGCATGGAGGAATGGGCCAAAATACCAGCAACAGTGTGTGAAAACCTTGTGAAGACTTACAGAAAACGTTTGACCTGTGTCATTGCCAACAAAGGGTATATAACAAAGTATTGAGAAACTTTTGTTATTGACCAAATACTTATTTCCCACCATAATTTGCAAATAAATTCATTAAAAATCCTACAATGTGATTTTCTGGATTTATTTTTCTCATTTTGTCTGTCATAGTTGACGTGTACCTATGATGAAAATTACAGGCCTCTCATCTTTTTAAGTGGGAGAACTTGCACAATTGGTGGCTGACTAAATACTTTTTTTCCCCACTGTATAAGGATTGACAATTAAAAGCATTGCTATACATACAAGCTGAATTCATGTCTTTTAAAAAACCCTACTCAGTCAGATTTGGAGAAGACCCTCTCTTCACTTCCACTACTTCCTGTTATAAGGTCAGAGTTCACCGGCCAGTTTCCTACCAGGGCTGCACTGTTGATCCTCCCACCACACACTAGCACACACACAATAGTACTAACACACACACACAAACATAACAAAATATATATATATATATATATATATATATATATATATATTTCCATCCATTTCTGAGCCAACCAAGCAGGAAAACTAAATCACTGACACTGCATCCCCCCAATCACCAGCAGTGGTGGAAAAATATAGTTAAGTGGTGGAAAAAGTACCCAATAGTCATACTTGAGTAAAAGTATATATACCTTAGTAGAAAATTACAAGTAAAAGTGAAAGTCACCCAGTAAAATACTACTTGAGTAAAAGTATAGATACCTTAATAGAAAGTTACTCAAGTAAAAGTGAAAAGTCACCCAGTAAAATACTACTTGAGTAAAAGTCTAAAAGTATTTGGTTTTAAATATACTTAAATATCAAAAGTAAATGTAATTGCTAAAATATAGTTAAGTATCAAAATAAAAAGTATAAATAATTTCAAACTCCTTATATTAAGCTAAGCAGACGGCACCATTTTCTTGTTTTAAAAATGTACGGATAGCCAGGGACACACTCCAACACTCAGACATTATTTACAAAATATGCATTTGTGTTTAGTGAGTCCACCAGATCAGAGGCAGTAGGGATGACCATGTGTTCCCTTGATAAGTGAGTGAATTTCAAAATGTTCCTGTTCTGCTAATCATTCAAAATGTAACGGGTACTTTGGGTTGTCAGGGAAAATGTATGGATAAAAAGTACAATATTTTCTTCAGGAATGTAGTGAAGTAAAAATATAAATAATAAAAGTACAGATACCCCCCCCAAAACTACTTAAGTGGTACTTTAAAGTATTTTTACTTAAGTACTTTACACCACCTGATCACCAGTAACCCATCATACTGAACATTCCTTCCTGGAACAGCGGCAGATGTTTCCCTGAGGTTGCCATAAGGTTAGGACCTCTCATTCCTCATTCTATGACAGGAATGTTCCGGAATGTTCCGGATGTGTTCCCGGAATGTCAACACAGCAGCACCATGTTGACGCAAAGTAACAACGGCAGAGTAGATGAAGTATAAATAAGAATTTAATGTACAGGGTGAGAACATTATTACATATTATGAATTCATATTTTGTTTATTTGTGGCTTATGGACAACAAGAACAGTACATTATGGGCGACATTTTCTGTCTGCAAAACAGCCCTCGCAACACAAAGTTTTGGCTAAATAACCATAACATCTTTAAATGGACAGTATGGTGCTTAAACCAAAAGGGTTTTGGAATACTGCAACTGGTGATTGTATTGCATGCAAATCATTTCCCTGCTGTTTTTCCGCTAAAGACTTTTAGACCGGGATTCATTCCCAACGTGCTTTTTCCGGCTATGCAACTTTTAAAAGGCAATGCTCCCCCGTTCAGCAAGCGCGCTGTAACCCTTCGTATGAATCAGAGTGCTGGAGAATATCAGGGAGCAGGAGGCAGGGAACACTCTAAATGTGACCGACTGGCTCGATTCTGTCTTATGTAGCAACATTTGAAATGTTTTTTTTTTTTTTTTTTTTACATTGGATAAAAGTAGAGACTCAGAGCTAGAAAATTGTATATCATAAACTACAGTTGAGGAACAGTGGGAAAGTAATTCTGCTTTGAAAGTTGATAAACTTGTAATCCCACTTTTGAGAAAATGGCCCTTGAATGTTTTGGTACACCTACTGGAGAGCTCTTCTTTGTCTACACCCATTCAGGATCATTCACACCCTCTTAAGCCTTAGCCCCACCCATCTCTTTAAGGATTCACATGTGAGGCCATGTGCTAAACAGAGTGAGTACGGTAGTGTACTAAACAACCAAAGAGTTCAAGACTAAAGGCTGGTTTGTACTACGTCTATCGACATGTCTGTAGACAGTTGTCAGTGACATCATGAACATTCTATTGTCGTCCAACATCAAACTTGTTGTTAAAGCTAACAGTACGCTTTAACTTGCAATGAAAACGAGTTTCTGACTAAATTTGAAACGTATAATATCTGAAAATGTAGCTAGCTAGACTCTCTTTTCGACTCCCTTCACATATTTGCAATCAAAACGCCAGAGTTTTCTCCATCTACTTAGCTATCATACTGTGCTTCCACCGGGCATTACACTGATTTCAAAACTTGGTCAACTTCTTCCGTGACAACAACACTGTTGTTGATCGCCGTTTCAGAAGACTCTACAATGTCTGGTTCAATGAAAATGTTTTTACCTAAATCAGGGATTTCCTCAACTTCTCATTCATTTACAGAGTCGGAGAGTCACATGGCACAATCGTCCTTCAGAAAGTGGAGAGCATTAGCAAAACTTTGGCAGTTCTTCCTGATATCTTTCAAAAAAGTTGCATTAGAAAGGATTACCTACACATACTGAGCAGCTCATGTTATTGACAGAAGCATGTTACATGGTAGACCAATCCGATCTCATCTCTTGGCATGTCCAGCCCATCCATTATCTCAGCCAATCATGGGTAGCGGGAAGGTTCCTGTCTTTTTCTGTGGCTAAACCAACTAGGCTCATAATTCTTCTTATTTTATTAGTATTTACAGATGGCATACAAGTTTGCTATTAAGGCACATGAAAGTTGATATGTTTCAGAAGGCATTTCTGCCCAAAAACGCATTTTAATAAAAAAAATTATGTTTACGTTCAAATGGCTCTCCTGTGAAGAAGTGACGTGCGACATACGCCTAGTTTCCTGAAACGAGTCATAAATATAGATAACATGTTCCTTTTATCAATGTTTCGTTTACATTTGGTCCTAAAGTTAAAAGCACAGCCTCACTCTCCAAGCACACACGAGAGAGAGAGAGAGAGAGAGAGAGACAGAGACAGAGAGAGAGAAAGAAAGAGAATTCAGATGGACGGATGAGCAATCTGCAGCGTTGCATTGGGAGTGTGTGTGTGTGTATGCGTTGTTCTATAAATGAGAGGGCATACAGAGAGTGGTCAAATGGCTTTGTGAGTGTCTGTGTTTGTGTGTGTGGAGGGAGGGAGGGAGGTCATGGAAAAGGGGAAACACTGCCAGCAGTGTGTTTGCTTGAGGGGGCGCCAGGGTGGGTGAGTCACATGATCTTTCTGTCACGGTCTCTCAGTCTCCCCTCACTCCTCTCCGTCTCCCCTCTCTGTCTCCCCTCTCTCCTCTCTTCTCTCAGTCTCTCCTCTCTTTCTGTCTCCCCTCTCTCGGTCTCTCCTCTCTTCTGTCTCTCTCTCTCTGTCTCCTCTCTTCTGTCTCTCTCTCTCTGTCTCCTCTCTTCTGTCTCTCTCTCTCTCTGTCTCCCTCTCTATCTCTCTCTGTCTCCCCTCTCTATCTCTCTCTGTCTCCCCTCTCTCCTCTCTTCTCTCAGTATCTCCTCTCTCTCTGTCTCCCCTCTCTCGGTCTCTCTGTCTCCCCTCTCTGTCTCCCCTCTCTGTCTCCCCTCTCTCTCTCCTCTCTAAATCACATTATCCAGAATAAGAATAATAAGACAAAGAGAAAACATCCAAACATAGTAAACATTAAATATAAATATTGCATACATCTATATTATAAATAAATGAGATAAGGCAAAATTAGAGGGTTATGAACAACATTTAACATGTTGTTCTGCACTGTAACATTAACATATATTATTATTATCTTTAGCTCCTCATGTAGTTAAAAAGGCACAGGGTGACTCAGTCGTCCAACTAGATCATCCAGACACCAGTCCATCCAGTTTAAGGTTGTTGGTCCACGAAGCAGAGAGGAGAGGAACAAGGTTTGTTTGTGTGCGTTTCCCTTTACAGTGTGGTAAACCGGCCCAGGGTTTGCTTCAGCTTCTCAGCAATCTGACCAATGAGAAGAAAACTACATTAATCATCATGCAACAGGAGATGACAACTACATTAACCAGAGCATGCAACAGGAGACCAGACCTACATTAACCAGAGCATGCAACTATTACTCTCTTTAGACTTGTGATATAGTACATATGGCTTTCTTTCAAAACATAGTCTTTCAAAATATATTGTCTTTCAAACCATATGATAGTTTCATTATGTTTTGAAAGACAATAACAGTCTCTCTCTCCCTCTTACCGTTTCATAGAACCTGATCTGTTCTTCCAGGTAGAACTGCATGACTCTGTTGTAGTCATAGATACGGTTGCTATGGAAGTGATTCATCTCAGCTGTATGGAAACACAGGTGGCAGGTAGAGGTTGCGTTACACAGGTGAACAGGTGTGTGTGTGTGTGGGCGCAGGTGTGTGTGTGTGTGTGTGTTACCTTGTAGTGAGTAGGACATGATGCTGGTGCGTTTGGCCATGGTCACTTTGTCCTGAGTGGTGATCTTCCCTGCTGCCACCATCTTATCCCCTTCCTTTACCTTCTCTATAGCCGCCTACACACACACACACACACACACAGTTGATTTACCTTGACCAGCACGCCTGGAGAGCGGTGTTTGTACTTTTAGGACTATTCCATTGGTTCTACTGTTACGGACCAGCTCAACAAACGACTTCTTCAACTTAGTTGTGATCTGATGTGTATCAGGCTACAATACTTAATAATTTACAATCTGTTGTGTACCTTTTGTACTCCTATAGTATCAGGTTTCAGGGTATACAATACTTAATAATACTTTACAGTAGTATCTGTTGTGTACCTTGTGTACTCCTATAGTATCAGGGAAGCAGCCTAGCAGTCCTTTGTATTCGTTGTTGGTTTCCATCAGGAAATGAAGGTCTTTTCTCGGCTGAAAGAAATACATCACCACAGTTTATTTTCACTCAGGGTCTGTAGTTCGACCTTCAGAGACAATATGAGAGAGAGAGAGAGAGAGAGAGAGAGAGAGAGAGAGAGAGAGAGAGAGAGAGAGAGAGGGGATGGAGAGAGAGAGAGAGTGTAATCAGAGGAAGGAAGAAGGGCAAGAGGAGAACAGGGAAGGAAGAACCATGACATAGGTGGTCTGTGTGTGTTACCTGCTCGGCTATGATCTGTGCGATATCCTCATACGTTTTCCCTGCAGCTGTGAGAGCGTCTGTGAGCGTGGCCTCTCCTACACACACACACACACACACACACACACACACACACTTTAGTGACAGTACTTTGACAGTAGCCAGTATCATTGAGCATAAAGCATAATGGGAGTCGGTCAGTACCTGCATATCCACTGGTGTTGAAGACAGATGACAGGTTCTGAAAGGCCTTCCCAATCCTCTGGTACTCCTTACGCAGAGCTGAACACATCAAACACACACCTGGTTTAATGCAGTACGACTTGGAGGGAGTTAAAGTTTTAACTAAGTATGGCTAGGAGGGAGTTGTAGTTTTAACAAAGTAGGGTTAGTGTTGAGTTGTAGTTTTAATAAAGTATGGCTAAGAGGGAGTTGTAGTTTTAACAAAGTATGGCTAGGAGGGAGTTGTAGTTTTAACAAAGTATGGCTAGGAGGGAGTTGTAGTTTTAACAAAGTATGGCTAGGAGGGAGTTGTAGTTTTAACAAAGTATGGCTAGGAGGGAGTTGTAGTTTTAACAAAGTATGGCTAGGAGGGAGTTGTAGTTTTAACAAAGTATGGCTAGGAGGGAGTTGTAGTTTTAACAAAGTATGGCTAGGAGGGAGTTGTAGTTTTAACAAAGTATGGCTAGGAGGGAGTTGTAGTTTTAACAAAGTATGGCTAGGAGGGAGTTGTAGTTTTAACAAAGTATGGCTAGGAGGGAGTTGTAATTTTAACAAAGTAGGGTTAGGGTTGAGTTGGGGTGTGGACATAAAACTAGGGTTTTCAGAGAGGAGTGTAGGTAGAGTTTGTAGTTTTTCAGGGCAGGAAGTGAGTCCTGTGTGTGTGTGTGTGTTGCTCCTCACAGCCTGTGCAGCGTTTCCAGTGTAGGTTCCCAACGATCAGCAGGTCTTTAACGCCATCATCCATCTCCTTAGTGAACTTACTGAACAACTCACACTTCTGCTCCCTACACACACACACAGATAAGAACCAATGTCAAATACGCATCTGAAATCTATGTGAGTGTGTGTCGGTATATCTACCATACGTACACTTCTATAAGGTCCAACTCAGGAGCTTCAGGGTCGATGGTGGAGAAGATCATTGGTCCAACACACTCATCCTTCTCTGCTCTCCTCTTCCCGGTCTTCCACTCCTGACCCGTCCACACACACACACACAGAGAGAGAGAGAGTGATGGCCTGCACGAGTGTGTGGACTGTGTGGACTGTGTGTGTGTGGACTGTGTGTGTGTGGACTGTGTGGTGTGTGGACTGTGTGTGTGTGTGTGGACTGTGGTGTGTGGCTGTGTGTGTGTGGACTGTGTGTGTGTGTTGGACTGTGTGTGTGTGTGTGTGTGGACTGTGTGTGTGTGGACTGTGTGTGTGTGTGGACTGTGTGTGTGTGTGGACTGTGTGTGTGTGTGTGGACTGTGTGTGTGGTGTGGACTGTGTGTGTGTGGTGGACTGTGTTGTGTGTGTGGACTGTGTGTGTGTGGACTGTGTGTGTGTGTGTGTGTGGATTGGTGTGTGTGGTGTTGTGTGTGACTGTGTGTGTGTGGTTGTTGGGACTGTTGGTGTTGTGTGTGTGGACTGGTGTGTTGTGGTGTGTTGTTGTGTGGACTGTGTGTGTGTGTGTGTGTGACTGTGTTGTGTGTGTGTGTGTGTGTGTGTGTGGACTTTGTGTTTGGTGTGTGTTTGGTTGACTGTGTTGTGTTGGTGTGGACTGTTGTGTGTGGTTGTGTGTGTGTGTGACTGTGTGACTGTGTGTTTGTGTGGACTGTGTGTGTGTGTGTGGGGACTGTGGTGTGTGTGGTGTGTGTGGACTGTGTGTTGTGTGTGGACTGTGTGTGTGTGTGGGACTGTGTGTGTGTGTGTGGACTGTGTGTGGTGTTGTGTGTGGACTGTGTGTGTGTGTGTGTGGACTGTGTGTGTGTGTGTGTGTGTGGACTGTGTGTGTGTGTGGACTGTGTGTGTGTGCGTGCGTGCGCGTGTACCTTCTCGTCTCTGTACGTGAGGAAGAGTTGGAAGACGTCACTGTTGGAGACGACAGGATGTCGACACATCCGACACATCCAGCCCTGCAGTCTCTCCATCCTCATCTTGATAAACTCCTCCTCAAAACGACCTGACAAGATGGAGGAATGGATATATTAACAATGATAATAATAATAATAATAATAATAATAATAATAATAATATTGTATTGACGACCACTCCTGATTGAACTAATTGGTCCAGATCACGCCCCTACGCACTACACCTATTCTCACTCCCAAATCACCACCTCTCAGCCTGAACACTGCAAACCTTCTCCTCTCCTGAACACATCACACTTCTCCTCTTCTGAACACAGCAAACCTTCTCCTCTCCTGCACACAGCAAACCTTCTCCTCTCCTGAACACAGCAAACCTTCTCCTCTCCTGAACACAGCAAACCTTCTCCTCTCCTGATCACAGCAAACTGAACACAGCAAACCTTCTCCTCTCCTGAACACAGCAAACCTTCTCCTCTCCTGAACACAGCAAACCTTCTCCTCTCCTGATCACAGCAAACTGAACACTGCAAACCTTCTCCTCTCCTGAACACAGCAAACCTTCTCCTCTCCTGAACACAGCAAACTGAACACAGCAAACCTTCTCCTCTCCTGAACACAGCAAACCTTCTCCTCTCCTGATCACAGCAAACTGAACACAGCAAACCTTCTCCTCTCCTGAACACAGCAAACCTTCTCCTCTCCTGAACACAGCAAACCTTCTCCTCTCCTGATCACAGCAAACTGAACACAGCAAACCTTCTCCTCTCCTGAACACAGCAAACCTTCTCCTCTCCTGATCACAGCAAACTGAACACAGCAAACCTTCTCCTCTCCTGAACACAGCAAACCTTCTCCTCTCCTGAACACAGCAAACCTTCTCCTCTCCTGAACACAGCAAACCTTCTCCTCTCCTGAACACAGCAAACCTTCTCCTCTCCTGAACACAGCAAACCTTCTCCTCTCCTGAACACAGCAAACTGAACACAGCAAACCTTCTCCTCTCCTGAACACAGCAAACTTCTCCTTTCATGGTGATGCTCTTTTCCTACCCTCTGTGTGTGTTAGTGAGTGCTCGGATTCTCCGCACCTTAGCACACACACTCAGGCACACAGCACACACACACACTCAGGCACACACACTCAGGCACTCAGGCACACAGCACACACACACACTCAGGCACACACACTCAGGCACACAGCACACACACACTCAGGCACACACCCACTCAGGCACACACCCACCCAGGCACACACACACACTCAGGCACACACACACACACACTCAGGCACACACACACACACACACACACACACTCAGGCACACACACTCAGGCACACAGCACACACACACTCAGGCACACACACTCAGGCACACAGCACACACACACTCAGGCACACACCCACTCAGGCACACACCCACCCAGGCACACACACACACTCAGGCACACACACACACTCAGGCACACACACACTCAGGCACACACCCACCCAGGCACACACACACACACACTCAGGCACACACACCCACCCAGGCACACACACACACTCAGGCACACACACACACTCAGGCACACACACACTCAGGCACACACCCACCCAGGCACACACACACACCCAGGCACACACACACACCCAGGCACACACACACACACACACACACTCAGGCACACACACCCAGGCACACACACACACTCAGGCACACACCGACTCAGGCACACACACACTGCCTTCAGAAAGTATGAAGGTCTGGATTTGGAGTCACCCTCAAAATTAAAGTGGAAACCACACTACAGGCTGATCCAACTTTGATGTAATGTCCTTAAAACAAGTCAAAATGAGGCTGAGTAGTGTGTGTGGCCTCCACGTGCCTGTATGACCTCCCTACAACGCCTGGGCATGCTCCTGATGAGGTACCGGATGGTCTCCTGAGGGATCTCCTCCCAGACCTGGACTAAAGCATCCGCCAACTCCTGGACAGTCTGTGGTGCAACGTGGCGTTGGTGGATGGAGCGAGACATGATGTCCCAGATGTGCTCAATTGGATTCAGGTCTGGAGAACGGGCGGGACAGTCCATAGCATCAATGCCTTCCTCTTGCAGGAACTGCTGACACACTCCAGCCACATGAGGTCTAGCATTGTCTTGCATTAGGAGGAACCCAGGGCCAACCGCACCAGCATATGGTCTCACAAGGGGTCTGAGGATCTCATCTCGGTACCTAATGGCAGTCAGGCTACCTCTGGCGAGCACATGGAGGGCTGTGCGGCCCCCCAAAGAAATGCCACCCCACACTATGACTGACCCACCGCCAAACCGGTCATGCTGGAGGATGTTGCAGGCAGCAGAACGTTCTCCACGGCGTCTCCAGACTCTATCACGTCTGTCACATGTGCTCAGTGTGAACCTGCTTTCATCTGTAAAGAGCACAGGGCGCCAGTGGCGAATTTGCCAATCTTGGTGTTCTCTGGCAAATGCCAAACGTCCTGCACAGTGTTGGGCTGTAAGCACAACCCCCACCTGTGGACGTCGGGCCCTCATACCACCCTCATGGAGTCTGTTTCTGACCGTTTGAGCAGACACATGCACATTTGTGGCCTGCTGGAGGTCATTTTGCAGGGCTCTGGCAGTGCTTCTCCTGCTCCTCCTTGCACAAAGGCGGAGGTAGCAGTCCTGCTGCTGGGTTGTTGCCCTCCTACAGCCTCCTCCACATCTCCTGATGTACTGGCCTGTCTCCTGGTAGCGCATCCATGCTCTGGACACTACGCTGACAGACACAGCAAACCTTCTTGCCACAGCTCGCATTGATGTGCCATCCTGGATGAGCTGCACTACCTGAGCCACTTGTGTGGGTTGTAGACTCCGTCTCATGCTACCACTAGAGTGAAAGCACCGCCAGCATTCAAAAGTGAACAAACCATCAGCCAGGAAGCATAGGAACTGAGAAGTGGTCTGTGGTCACTACCTGCAAAACCAGTCCTTTATTGGGGGTGTCTTGCTAATTGCCTATAATTTCCACCTGTTGTCTATTCCATTTGCACAACAGCATGTGAAATGTATTGTCAATCAGTGTTGCTTCCTAAGTGGACAGTTTGATTTCACAGAAGTGTGATTGACTTGGAGTTCCATTGTGTTGTTTAAGTGTTCCCTTTATTTTTTTGAGCAGTGTACATGTTAGAATCACCTTTGGCAGCGATTACAGCTGTGAGTCTTTCTGGGTAAGTCTAACAGCTTTCCACACCTGTACATTTGCCCATTATTATTTTCAAAATTCTTCCAGCTGTCACGATCGTTAGAGTGAGTGGACCAAGGCGCAGCGTGATGAACGAACATACTTCTTTTATTTAATGAATGAACGAGCAACAAAACAACAAACGATAACGTGACGTCCTATGTTAAACACAACAAACACGGGACACACCAAAAGGAACAAGATCCCACAAACACTAAGGGAAAACAGACTGTTTAAATATGGCTCCCAATCAGAGACAACCAGCAACAGCTGACACTCGTTGCCTCTGATTGGGAACCACTCTGGCCAACATAGAAATACAAGAACTAGACTGTGAACATAGAACAAAACACATAGAAACTACACACCCTGGCTCAACATATAGAGTCCCCAGAGCCAGGGTGTGACAGTACCCCCCCCAAAGGCGCGGACTGCGACCGCGCCTCCACATAAACCAAACAGGGGAGGGCTGGGTGGGCATTCCTCCTCGGAGGCGGTTCCGGCTCCGGGCTTGCCCACCACCTTCCAATAATCCCCCCGTAGCGCCCCTGGTCCGGTCTGGCCCCGCTGGCTGGAGCTGGACTGGACATCGTAGGAGCGGATTGCTTCAGCTCCGGTGTGGAGCAGCTGACCGGTACCTGACCAGGCACCGGTGACCCAGGCACGGGTTGTGCCGGACTGACGATGCACACCCCTGGCTTGGTGCGTGGAGCAGAAACGGGCCGGACCGGGCTGACGATGCGCACCCCTGGCTTGGTGCGTGGAGCAGCTACGGGCCGGACCGGGCTGACGATGCGCACCCCTGGCTTGGTGCGTGGAGCCGGAACGGGCCGTACCGGGCTGACGATGCGCACCCCTGGCTTGGTGCGTGGAGCAGCTACGGGCCGGACCGGGCTGACGATGCGCACCCCTGGCTTGGTGCGTGGAGCCGGAACGGGCCGTACCGGGCTGACGATGCGCACCCCTGGCTTGGTGCGTGGAGCAGCTACGGGCCGGACCGGGCTGACGACTCGCACCCCTGGCTTGGTGCGTGGAGCAGGAACGGGCCGGACCGGGCTGACGACGCGCACCCCTGGCTTGGTGCGTGGAGCAGGAACGGGCCGGACCGGGCTGACGATGCAAACCCCTGGCTTGGTGCGTGGAGCAGGAACGGGCCGGACCGGGCTGACGACTCGCACCCCTGGCTTGGTGCGTGGAGCAGGAACGGGCCGGACCGGGCTGATGACGCACACCCCTGGCTTGGTGCGTGGAGCAGGAACAGGCCGGGCCGGGCTGGCGACGCACACCATAGGCTTGGTGCGAGGAGCAGGAACAGGCCGGGCCGGGCTGACGACGCGCACCGTAGGCTTGGTGCGAGGGGCAGGAACAGGCCGGGCCGGGCTGGCGACGCGCACCGTAGGCTTGGTGCGAGGGACAGGAACAGGCCGGACCGTACTGGGAACACACACCACTGGCCTTAAACGGGGATCAGGAACGGGCCGGACCGGACTGGCAATACACCTCAGTACCTCTCGCCGTGCCTCTACAACTTCCTTCCCTCCTCTCACCAATGGCTCCCGTAACCCGGTGGCCTTCTCTCCTCGTCTCCCATTTCGCCCTGTGGCAGCCTCCTGCTGCCCAGTCGCCCATGCCGTGTGCCCCCCCCTAAAACATTTCTGGGGTTGCCTCTCGTCCGTCCGACGACGACACTGTTGACGCCGTTGCTCCTCTCTCGCCAGGGCCTTAATCTTAGCCCATGGCCCTTTGCCCCCGAGCATGTCCTCCCAGGACCACGATTTGCCCACCTGGGCCATCGCCAACCTCTCCAGCTCCTTTCCCGGCGCTTCCTCCCATGTCCAGGCCGCCTGCTCCTGGACACGCTGCTTGGTCCTGGTATGGTGGGATCTTCTGTCACGATCGTTAGAGTGAGTGGACCAAGGCGCAGCGTGATGAACGAACATACTTCTTTTATTTAATGAATGAACGAGCAACAAAACAATAAACGATAACGTGACGTCCTATGTTAAACACAACAAACACGGGACACACCAAAAGGAACAAGATCCCACAAACACTAAGGGAAAACAGACTGTTTAAATATGGCTCCCAATCAGAGACAACCAGCAACAGCTGACACTCGTTGCCTCTGATTGGGAACCACTCTGGCCAACATAGAAATACAAGAACTAGACTGTGAACATAGAACAAAACACATAGAAACTACACACCCTGGCTCAACATATAGAGTCCCCAGAGCCAGGGTGTGACACCAGCTCTGTCAAATTGTTTGTTGATCATTGCTAGACAACCATTTTCAGGTCTTGCCGTAGATTTTCAAGTACATTTAAGTCAAAACTAACTCAGCCAATCAGAAACATTCACTGTCTTCTTGGTAAACAACTCCATTGTAGATTAAGCCTTGTGTTTTAGGTTACTGTCCTGCTGAAAGGTGAATTCATCTCCCAGTGTCTGGTGGAAAGCAGACTGAACCAGGTTTTCCTCTAGGATTTTGCCTGTGCTTAGCTCCAACTTGTTTATTTTTTATCCTGAAAAACTCCCCAGTCCTTAACGATTACGAGCATACCCATAACATGATGCAGCCACCACTATGCTTGAAAATATGGAGAGTGGTACTCAGTAATGTCTTGTATTGTATTTGACACACTTTGTATTCAGGATAAAAAGTTAATTTCTTTACCACATTTTTTGTAGTATTACTTTGGTGCCTTGTTGCAAACAGGATGCATGTTTTGGAATATTTTTATTCTGTACAGGCTTCCTTCTTTTCACTCGGCCAATTAGGTTAGTATTGTGGAGTAACTACAATGTTGTTGATCCATCCTCAGTTTTCTCCTATCACAGCCTTTAAACTCTTTAACTGTTTTAAAGTCACCATTGGCCTCATGGTGAAATCCCTGATAGGTTTCCTTCCTCCCCGGCAACGGAGTTAGGAAGGACGTCTGTATCGTTGTTCAATGTCTGCTTTTTTATTTTTACCCATCTACCAATAGGTGCCCTTCTTTGCGAGGCATTTGAAAACCTCACTGGTCTTTTGTGGTTGAAACTGTGTTTGAAATTCACTGCTCGACTGAGGGACCTTACAGATAATTGTATGTGTGGGGTACAGAGATGAGGTACTCTTTCAAAAATCATGTTAAACACTATTATTGCAGACAGAGTGAGTCCATGCAGCTTATTATATGAATGTGACTTGATAAGCTCCTGAATATATTTAGGCTTGCCATAACAAAGGGGTTGAATACTTATTTACTCATGACATTTCAGTTTTCCATTTTTCATTACTTTGTACACATTTCCAAAAACACAATTCCACTTTGACATTATGGGGTATTATGTGTAGGGCAGTGACAAAAAAAATCTCAATTTAATCCATAATAATTCAGGCTGGAACACAACAAAATGTGGAAAAAGTCAAGGGGTGTGAATACTTTCTGAAGGCACTGAGTATACAAAACATTAGGAACACCTGCTCGTTCCCATGACATAGACTGACCAGGTGAATCCAGGTGAAACCTATGATTCCTTATTGATGTCACTTGTTAAATCCACTTCAAATCAGTGTAGATGAAGGGGAGGAGACAGGTTAAAGAAGGATATTTAAGCTATGAGACAATTGAGACAGATTGTGTGTGTGTGTGCCATTCAGAGGGTGAATGGGCAAGATAAAATATTTAAGTGCCTTTGAACAGGGTAAGTCAGTAGGTGCCAGGTGCACCGGTTTGTGTCAAGAACTGCAACACTGCTGGGTTTTTCACGCTAAACAGTTTCCCGTGTGTATCAAGAATGGTCCACCACCCAAAGAACATTCAGCCATCTTGACATAACTGTGGGAAGCACTGGAGTCAACATGGGCCAGCATCCCTGTGGAATGCTTAAGACACCTTGTAGGGTCCATGCCCTGACGAATTGAGGCTGTTCTGAGGGCAAAACGGGGTGCGACTCAGTATTAGGAAGGACTCAGTGTATAAATTCATGCTACACACACACACACACACATCACAACTGCTGCTACCAGACTCTTATTATACAGCTCAGTTTATCCACTGCCTGCCCTCCCCAATACACGTGGACTATAAATTGATCCACAGGCTCAACACAGTCTCCTCTTGGCCTTAATGAGGAGTTCGATTTAAAAACCGTTTTTATATATATATATATATATATATATATATATATATATATATATATATTTTTTTTTTATCCTAATTGAATATTGTGTGTGTGTATATATATATATATATATATTACTGTAAATATTGATTACATTCCTTGTGTATGATCATATATGTTGATACTTTGAATGTTAATATTGTGAACCTGTTATATATTTTTACCTCCTGTTTCAGGAAGTGATGTCACCGAGTACTGCCCCTATATATACACATACATACATACATACATACATACATACATACATACATACATACATACGTACATACATACATATAGGACCTTCCACCCCTACCTGGGATATGGATGCCTGATGAAGACATAAGGGTGGAAACGTTGTTATAATAATGCTTATTACATGTTACCGTTAAGCCCATTTCCTTCCTGTTAATTACATGTTACCGTTAAGCCCATTTCCTTCCTGTTAATGACATGTTACCGTTAAGCCCATTTCCTTCCTGTTAATGACATGTTACCGTTAAGCCCATTTCCTTCCTGTTAATTACATGTTACTGTTGAGCCCATTTCCTTCCTGTTAGTGACATGTTACCGTTGAGCCCATTTCCTTCCTGTTAATGACATGTTACTGTTGAGCCCATTTCCTTCCTGTTAATTACATGTTACCGTTAAGCCCATTTCCTTCCTGTTAATTACATGTTACTGTTGAGCCCATTTCCTTCCTGCTAATTACATGTTACCGTTAAGCCCATTTCCTTCCTGTTAAATTACATGTTACCGTAGAGCCCATTTCCTTCCTGTTTATTCACCCGGCAGCACTACTCGATCATTCATGCACCTTTTATGTTGATTTGACCCTGATATGTGTTTTATCCCTCCTAAACCACTACAACCCAACCTACCGGCTTTACAAGCCAACAACATCCACCATCATATTCTCCCCCTCGGTTTGTCTTTGCTGTGCGTGTAAAATAAACCAGATAATTGGATTCATCTCATCCCCTACTTCATCCGCATTCTAACAGGTAGTGACAATCTGAACTCCGAACCAGTCAATTACAAAACCTCCTCATACAGTCCGCCTTCACTTTAATAACCAATGCCCTTCAGCAGATGCTTTTATCCAAAGTGCCTTACAGTCATGTGTGCAGACATTTTGTGCTTATGGGCGGTCAGGTGAATCAATAACACAGATAGAGATCACTAGTCTCCAATACAGAACTATTCATGAGCTCACTACATTTAACATTTAAGTCATTTAGCGACTTACAAATTGGTGCATTCAACATAGGATAGCCAGTGGGACAACCACCACTGGGGGAAGGGGGGGGGGGGTAGAATGATTACTGTTAGACTATTCCAGGTATTCATTAAAGAGGTAGGGTTTCAAGTGTCTCCGGAAGGTGGTCAGTGACTCCGCTGTCCTGGCGTCGTGGGGGAGCTTGTTCCACCATTGGGGTGCCCGAGCAGCGAACAGCCACTAGACGGCCATTGTAAACAGGCTCCAATACAGAACTATTTATAAATAATAATAATAATATGCCATTTAGCAGACGCTTTTATCCAAAGCGACTTACAGTCATGCGTGCATACATTTTTGTGTATGGGTGGTCCCGGGGGCTCGAAGGATGCCCCTGCACACACACACACGCACACGCACACACACACGCGCACGCACACGCACACAACTCAATACATATTTTCTAAAGCCAGGTTTTTTTTTCAGCCCACAACTCATGGAAACCACTGACCTGTGACCTGTTTGTCAGGCAGCGAGGGGATTGGGACGGCGGAACCAAACTTCTCCAACAGGCGCTCATACAGCCAATCAAAATGCTTATACCTGTGATTGACAGGTCTGTTGGTCGTCTGTAGAAAACACACAAAAAAAGAGTCAGAGAAGTGTGTGTGTGTGTGTGTGTGTGTGTGTGTTGGTGCTGAGCGATCAATGTATACCTTTTTTTTTGCTTATTAAACAACTAATTGACCGACGTCGGTTAATTTACTTAAATTCCATTTAGTTAGTATTTTTTTTGTGAGCTCAAACGTGCCGTTTCTCTAGAGAGAAATCAATACAAGCGTGAGAGAAATCAGATCAAGAACGAACTGTGGGACGTTGGAAGTTGTAGTTTTCAACAGAAGATATTCAACTTAGTTCAGGGCAGAAAACGTGGTAATTAACTACCATGCCCATAATCCATTGCGCCTGTACTACCTGCCCTGCTCTTCTGGCCCCAGAAAGACGCATGAGAGAGGAATGTACACAACACAATGACCAGAGGGATAGAGACTGTTGGTGAGGTAGCTATACTCGATTGATAGTTGTGTCACTTTGGTAATTAGCAGTCTTGAAAGTATGCTTTATCTACTAAAATTGTGATTTCGTCAGACAGCCCTGCAGCATATTAGGTAGACGCCTATCTAAATAGGATGACTTGTTGACAGAGATAACGTTAGATGGTTGGTTGGCTGCTACTGCCTGAGCAGAGATCATGACTGAAAATAATTAAATAATAAAAAAAAAGTCATCAAATAAAATAAGTAATAAGACAATTGAATGTTCTCAATATTTGGCTTTACAAATAATTTTAAGACCAACATTATTATTATTTTAAATCAAAACCGGAAACAATAAAACAACATTTACCGAACTGAAACGACCTCAAAAAGCACTAATCGCTCAGCACTAGTGTGTGTGTGTGTGTGATACTCACATTGGGTGTGACCTGGTACTCAATGTAGCTCTTCAGACCGTACATCTTAGAGCCTTTTTTAGGATCAGCCACGACACAGTCAAGGGGAGACTGGGGATACAGCCACACTGGCCCCACATCTCCCATCTACACAGACACAGACAGACACAGACACAGACAGACACACACACACACACACACACACAGACACACAGACACAGACACAATTACTACATTGGCTATTACCATCTGCAGTAGCAGAATTTTTCCCGGCAGAAATGTAATGTAATTTTAATGTAAATGTAATGTAATGTGAATTTAATGTAATGTAAATGTAATGCCTTGTAAATGAAATGTAAAGTAATGTAATGCAAATGTAGAGTAATGTAATGTAGAGTAATGTAGAGTAATGTAATGTAGAGTAATGTAAAGTCATGTAATGTAGAGTAATGTAATGTTATGTAGAGTAATGCTATGTAGAGTATTGTAGAGTAATGCAATGTAGAGTAATGCAATGTAGAGTAATGTAATGTAGAGTAATGTAGAGTAATGTAATGTAGCGTAATGTAATGTAGAGTAATGCAATGTAGAGTAATGCAATGTAGAGTAATGTAGAGTAATGTAATGTAGCGTAATGTAATGTAGAGTAATGTAAATGTAGAGTAATGTAACGTAACGTAGAGTAATGTAGAGTAATGTAGAGTAATGCAATGTAGAGTAATGTAATGTAGAGTAATGTAAAGTAATGTAATGTAACGTAATGTAGAGTAATGTAATGTTATGTAGAGTAATGCTATGTAGAGTATTGTAGAGTAATGCAATGTAGAGTAATGCTATGTAGAGTAATGTAATGCAGAGTAATGTAAATGTATGTAATGTAGAGTAATGTAAATGTATGTAATGTAGATTAATGTAGAGTAATGTAAGGTAATGTAGAGTAATGTAAAGTAATGTAGAGTAATGTTATGTAAAGAAATACAATGAAATGTAATGTAATGTAATGTAAATGTGTAGAACAGACGGATGACTCACGTAAATGGCCAGTCGGTCGTTGCCTTTAGGTGGTAGTTTAGCCAGCAGGTACACCTCTGGGTTGGGGGTCTTAGAGAACGCAAACCTAGCCATGGTGGAAGAATACGGACCTATATCAGTGTCAATCCATAGCACCTAACCTGGGTCAATGTGTTGAATGTAGGGTTGCATAACTCTGGTAACTGTCCCAGGGGGGGTTCTGGGATTTATTCTCTTAGAATTCCTGAAATTCTCCAACTGGGATTTCTGGAAAACCGGGGAATTTTTGAAGAAAAAATAAAATGTGTGAGTGTTTGTGTGTCTTACTTGTTGAGGGATATCTTCATGTGTGAGTGTTTGTGTGTCTTACTTGTTGATGGATATCTTCATGTGTGAGTGTTTGTGTGTCTTACTTGTTGATGGATATCTTCATGTGTGAGTGTTTGTGTCTTACTTGTTGATGGATATTTTCATGTGTGAGTGTTTGTGTCTTACTTGTTGATGGATATCTTCATGTGTGAGTGTGTGTTGCGTCCTGTCGCCCCTCCTTCCTCCTCCCCTGTAGTGTCACCATAACCCCCTGTTGATCTGGCATCATCCCACTCTTCTTCCCACTCACCATCATCATCACCTTCACACACACACACACACAGGTACATTATCCCAAAAAATTTGAAATAAATGCAACATAACAAATACAGCAAGGTTCACAAACATCTTGTGTGTGGGTCTGTGTCTCTGTGTGTGTGTCACCTGCATTCTGTTGAGTCTGTGTGTATCCCTGGGTGTCCCATCCCCCGGTTGTGTCATTGGTGTAAGCTCCTCCCCCAGACCAAGGGTTGTCACCATTAGCAACCTGAAAACAACAACAGCAGCACTGAACTCTGGGAAATGTTCCACAGAGCTGCTTTAAAAAAAATGACTGTTTCAGGGTGCTGTGTTTTAAAGGCTAAGTGGCGTGGCTCTGACCCAGGCAGTCTTAATGGCTAAAGTATGGACAGACCTGGCCTTGGGCCTACAAAGCTCACACACACACACAGTCAAAGGGTTAAAACAAAGTAATGATGTCTCTAAGTCAGATATACAGTATGTTCCTAATGAGACAAACCTAGATACAAAGACAGGCTACCTCTGACTATAACCTATAGTAATGAAGTAGTGTGTACCTGAGTGTTAGTGCTGTTGGTGGGCTCTGGGCTGTAGGCATTAGGAGAGGTAGCCGTCTCTGGTGTACTAACCTGAGAATAGAAGAGAAGGAGAGTGAGGAGGAGAGAGGTGAGAGAGAGGAGGAGAGGAGAGAGATGAGAGAGAGGAGAGGAGAGAGGCGAGGAGAGAGTGAGGAGAGGGAGAGAGAGAGAGAAGAGAGAGAGGGAGGGAGGAGAGGAGAGAGAGAGAGAGAGCGAGAGAAGGAGAAGAGGAGAGGAGAGGCGAGAGCGGAGAGAGGCGAGAGAAGAGGAGAGAGAGAAGAGAGGAGAGAGCAGGAGAGCCGAGGATAGAGAGGGAGAGAGAGAGAGAGAGCGGAGAGGGAGATGAGAGGAGGAGAGAGAGAGAGGGAGAGAGCGGAGAGCGCGAGGCCGGAGAGAGGCGAGCCGAGGCGCGGCTTGAGATTGCTTTTCTCTTCTTGTGTGGAGAGCGCGGCGCAGGAGAGAGAGGAGAGGATGGAGGAGGGAGAGAGGGAGAGAGAGAGATGAGAGAGAGAGGAGAGAAGAGAGGAGGGCGAGGAGAGAGAGAGAGAGAGAGAGGAGAGAGAGAGAGAGAGAGAGACGCAGAGAGGGAGAGAAGAGAGAGAAGGGAGAGGAGGGAGAGAAGAGAGAGAAGGGAGAGAATGGAGAGAAGAGAGAGAAGGGAGAGGAGGGAGAGAAGAGAGAGAGAGAGAGAAGAGAGAGAGAGGGGAGAGAGAGGGAAGAGAGAAGAGAGTGAGAGAGGGAGGGAGAGGAGGGGAGAGGGACGAGGGAGGAGGAGAGAGAGAGAGAGAGAGGGGGAGAGAAGAGAGAGAGGAGAGAGGAGAGAGGAGAAGAGGGGGGGAGAGAGAGGGAGAGAGGAGGAGAGAGAGGAGAGAGAGAGAGGAGAGTGAGAGATGAGAGAGAGAGAGAGAGAGGAGAGGAGAGAGCGAGACGAGGAGAGGAGAAGAGAGGAGCGAGAGAGTAAGAAGGGCAGAGAGAGAGAGCGAGAAGCGAGAGAGAGAGAGTGAAGGAGAGAGGCGAAAGACCGACGAGAGATCGAGAGAGAGAGAGAGAGAGAGAGGAGCGAGAGAGTGAGAGAGAAAGAGAAGGAGGAGGAGAGAGAGAGGAGAGGAGACGATGGAGGAGGGGAGAGAGAGAGGAGAGAGAGAGAGAGAGGAGGGAGAGTGAGGAGAGAGAGAGAGGAGAGGGAGAGAAGGAGGGAGAGGAGGAGCGGAGAGAGAAGAGAGAGAGAGCAGAGAGGAGAGAGGGAGAGTGAGAGAGAGAGAGAGGAGAGAGAGGGAAGAGAGGAGAGGAGAGAGAGGAGAGAGAGGAGAGAGAGAGGAGGAGAGGAGAGAGATGAGAGGAGAGAGAGAGAGAGAGATGGAGAGAGAGAGGAGAGAGGAGGCGAGGACGAGGAGGAGAGAGAGGAGCGAGGGGAGAGAGCGAGAGAGCGAGGAGAGAGAGAGCGGCGAGCTGTGCGAGAGAGTGTGAGAGAGAGAGTGAGAGAGTGTTTCGAGAGAGACTAGTGAGAGAGAGAGAGAGAGAGAGAGAGAGAGAGAGATGGGGGGATTGTAAAAGTGTCAAAATCAACCACATTTTCACTTTATCTTTACGCCCAAGGACAAAGATCATAGTCATGGCTATCATTTTCATGTCTGCAGGATGAAAGCATTACTGTTTGTTTCTATTTTTTATTTCACCTTTATTTAACCAGGTAAGCCAGTTGAGAACAAGTTCTCATTTACAACTGCGACCTGGCCAACATAAAGCAAAGTAGTGCGATAAAAAACAACGCAGAGTTACATATGGGGTAAAAGAAAACATAAAGACAAAAATACAACAGAAAATATACAGTGCTATGAAAAAGTATTTGACCCCTTTCTAATTTTCTCTACTTTTGCATATTTGTGATACTGAATGTTATCAGTTCAACCAAAACCTAATATTAGATAAAGGGAACATAACTGAACAAATAACACAACAATTACATATTTATTTCATAAACAAAGTTATGCAACACCCAATTCCCCTGTGTGAAAAAGTAATTGCCCCCTTACACTCAATAACTGGTTGTGCCACCTTTAGCTGCAATGACTCCAACCAAATGCTTCCTGTAGTTGTTGATCAGTCTCTCACGTCACTGTGGAGGAATTTTGGCCCACTCTTCCATGCAGAACTGCTTTAACTCAGTGACGTGTGGGTTTTCAAGCATGAACTGCTCGTTTCAAGTCCTGCCACAACATCTCAATTTGGATTAGGTCTGGACTTTGACTAGGCCATTCCAAAACGTCCAATTTGTTGCTTTTTATCAATTTTCATGTAGACTTGATTGTGTGTTTTGGATCATTGTCTTGCTGCATGACCCAGCTGCGCTTCAGCTCACAGAAGGATGGACTGACATTCTCCTGTAGAATTCTCTGATACAGAGCAGAATTCATGGTTCCTTCTATTAAGGCAAGTCGTCCAGGTCCTGAGGCAGCAAAGCATCCCCAAACCATCACACCACCACTATGCTTGACCTTTGGTATGATGTTCTTACTGTGGAATGCAGAGTTTGGTTTTCGCCAGGCATTACTGGAACCATGTCGTCCAAAGAGTTATACTTTTGAATCATCTGTCCATAGAACGTTCTTCCAAGAGTCTTGATGATCATCCATGTGCTTTTTGGCAAACTTGAGTCAACTTTTTGGACGAGATGGGTCCCATTATGCCTGGCGAAAACCAAACACTGCATTCCACAGTAAGAACAGGCCTAGTCAAAGTCCAGACCTAATCCCAATTTAGATGTTGTGGCAGGACTTGAAACGAGCAGTTCATGCTTGAAAACCCACATGGCACTGAGTTAAAGCAGTTCTGCATGGAAGAGTGGGCCAAAATTCCTCCACAGCGACGTGAGAGACTGATCAACAACTATAGGAAGATTTTGGTTGGAGTCATTGCAGCTAAAGGTGGCATAACCTGTTATCGAGTGTAAGGGGGCAATTACTTTTTCACACAGGGGAATTGGGTGTAGCATAACTTTGTTTATGAAATAAATGAAATAAATATGTAATTGTTGTGTAATTTGTTCACTTATGTTCCCTTTATCTAATATCAGGTTTTGGTTGAAGATCTGATAACATTCAGTATAAAAAATATGCAAAAGTAGAGAAGATTAGAAAATGGGGCAAATACTTTTTCATAGCACTGTATATATCGTTAGTTATATCGTTAGTCACTGTATATACAGTGCGTGCAAATGTAGTAAGTTATGGAGGTAAGGCAATAAATAGGCCATAGTGCAAAATAATTACAATTAGTATTAACACTGGAATGATAGATGTGCAGAAGATGATGTGCAAATAGAGATACTGAGGTGCAAATGAGCAAAATAAATAACAATATGGGGATGAGGTAGTTGAGTGGGCTAATTTCAGGAGGGCTGTGTACAGGTGCAGTGATCGGTAAGGTGCTCTGACAACTGATGCTTAAAGTTAGTGAGGGAGATAAGAGTCTCCAGCTTCAGAGATTTTTGCAGTTCGTTCCAGTCATTGGCAGCAGAGAACTGGAAGGAATGGCGGCCAAAGGAGGTGTTGGCTTTGGGGATGACCAGTGAGATATACCTGCTGGAGCGCATACTACGGGTGGGTGTTGCTATGGTGACCAATGAGCTAAGATAAGGTGGAGATTTGCCTAGCAGTGATTTATAGATGACCTGGAGCCAGCGGGTTTGGCGATGAATATGTAGTGAGGACCAGCCAACAAGAGCGTACAGGTCACAATGGTGGGTAGTATATGGGGCTTTGGTGACAAAACGGATGGCACTGTGATAGACTACATCCAATTTGCTGAGTAGAGTGTTGGAGGCTATTTTGTAAATGACATCACCGAAGTCAAGGATCGGTAGGATAGTCAGTTTTACGAGGCATGTTTGGCAGCATGAGTGAAGGAGGCTTTGTTGCGAAATAGGAAGCCGATTCTAGATTTAACTTTGGATTGGAGATGCTTAATGTGAGTCTGGAAGGAGAGTTTACAGTCTAACCAGACACCTAAGTATTTGTAGTTGTCCACATACTCTAGGTCAGACCCGTCGAGAGTAGTGATTCTAGTTGGGTGGGCGGGTGCCAGCAGCGTTCGATTGAAGAGCATGCATTTAGTTTTACTAGTGTTTAAGAGCAGTTGGAGGCTACAGAAGGAGTATTGTATGGCATTGAAGCTCGTTTGGAGGTTTGTTAACACAGTGTCCAATGAAGGGCCAGATGTATACAAAATGGTGTCGTCTGCGTAGAGGTGGATCTGAGAGTCACCAGCAGCAAGAGCGACATCATTAATATACACAGAGAAAAGAGTCGACCCAAGAATTTAACCCTGTGGCACCCCCATAGAGACTGCCATAGGTCCAGACAACAGGCCCTCCGATTTGACACATTGAACTCTATCTGAGAAGTAGTTGGTGAACCAGGCGAGGCAGTCATTTGAGAAACCAAGGCAATTTAGTCTGCCAATAAGAATGCAGTGGTTGACAGAGTCGAAAGCCTTGGCCAGGTTGATGAAGACGGCAGCACAGTACTATCTTATCGATCGCGGTTATAATATCGTTTAGGACCTTGAGCGTGGCTGAGGTGCACCCATGACCAGCTCGGAAACCGGATTGCATAGCGGAGAAGGTATGGTGGGATTCGAAATGGTCGGTGATCTGTTTGTTAACTTGGCTTTCAAAAACAGAAATACATGATTTACATAAGTATTCAGAACCTTTGCTATGAGACTCGAAATTGAGCTCAGGTGAATCCTGTTTCCATTGATCATCCTTGAGATGTTTCTACAACTTGATTGGAGTCCACCTGTGGTCAATTCAATTGATTTGACATGATTTGGAAAGGCACACACCTGTCTATATAAGGTCACACAGATGACAGTCCATTTCAGAGCAAAAACCAAGCCATGAGGTCAAAGGAATTGTCCTAGAGCTGCGAGACAGGATTGTGTCGAGGCACAGATCTGGGAAAGGGTACCAAAATATTTCTGCAGCATTGAAGGTCCCCAAGAACACAGTGGCCTCCATCATTCTTAAATGGAAGAAGTTTGGAACCACCAAGACTCTTT